TCTCTCTCTCTCTCTCTCTCTCTCTCTCTCTCTCTCTCTCTCTCTCTCTCTCCAGTTATTGATGTTACTTGAAAAACTAAATTTTGACTAAAGAAGATTTTAAAAGTATCAGTCTGCAACTCACACTTTCTTTATCTTTTAATTCTCTAGGTTGGTCCAACCAACCCAAACCTGCAGAAAGTACTCGATGCCCTAAACTCAGTTAAAACTAAGGTAAATAAGCTAAGTAAGCTAATTTAATTCTGAAAACAAGAACACACAGAAGTACATAAATCATCCAGTTGCCTGTTTGAAATGGGAAACAGGAAGACAGGCGTAGAAGCCAAGCAGACACAAGGTGCCGTGGAAACCTTTCTTGTCCTGGAGCAATTGATGCAGGAGCTGGTTTTCTTTTGTTTTCTTGGTGCTTGTTTCTAGTAGAACACTTTTTGATCTGATAAAACCAATCAAAAAAGTGACTTTTTGATCAGACACTTCTTGATCTGCTAAAAAACAATCACACTCCAGTGAGAGCTTCCTGTTTCATAAAAGGAACATCTTGAACTCTTCAGTAACATGACAATATGGGCCCGAAGAGCCCTATTTGAGAACTATGATTCTAAACTAAAGTTAAAACCCTTAATGGATTTTCTAAAATATCCATTCTTAGCACCACAGTCTTAACACTGTTTTACCTTATTCTGAAGGTCAAAGTAATTATCATTTTTTTCAGTGAGTAGAACAACTGTATTTTAAGAAAAATAAGTTTGTTTTATGCTGAGTTCAGAAAAGAACTTTGAATGAGCATGTAATAAAGTGAGATGGAATGTTCTTTAAATTCTACTCAAGGATATAAAAATATATGAAAATAAAATAGAAGGAAATAGTGAGGATAAAAGCAGAAAATAGTAAAAAAGAAATAAAATTACAGATGAATACAAAACACTATTTTATCAACAAATAAAGAATTTACTCTATAGAATAAACAGCAACAAAAAGAATCATTTGGGCAGCCTTGGTATAAGAAAGCTGGCACAAACACCAAATGTTATTAGAGGGACTGGCAAGATGACTCAGCAGGTAGCACAGCCTTTCCTAGTAGTATGGCTGAAATAACTCTGAAATTACAGCAAATCATTTACAACAGTGTTATTGATGAAGTCATATTTTTGACCAAGTAGAGTTCACTCTAGATGTGGATAGCTAAGTGTTAGAACTAATCTTTGATTAGATCATTATATTATCGGATTAAATATGAAAATTCATATTATTAGTTTCTTCAGCTGACGTTGTTATAGTGCAGTCATGAAAAAAGAATAGTACAGTGCCTACCGCCATTACAATTGACATCATAATTAAAATTTTAACTATTAAACAAATAAAGAACAAAACATAAAGCTAAATATTGGGAAAACAAAGACAAAATTATCATGTATCGATGATATATCTACCTGGAAAATTTATAGGAGTCAACTAAAAAATTAAATTGACTGAAAAAAGCAGTCTGGTAAAACTGGTTGTATAAAAATTACCTTACGAATATCAGTTAATTTCTTTGGATAATGCTCTGTCCTGTTCTAGGGGCAAAGGCATTCAGGACAAACCCATCAATTACATTTTATTCTTATTTATTCCCATAAGTATCCCTGATCAGTTATTATTTATCTAAAGAAAATTGAGATATTTCCTAATGAATATTAAATGTCTTTTGATAAATATAAATTACATAAAATTTTTAGATTTTTCATCATCCACCAAATGAAGAGGAAGATTCAATGTCTAAAACTTCCATATAGTATTTTTATGTTATTTATATTGTTCATATTCACAAACATACCAGACATTAAACAAGTATAGTAGAAAATCAAAATTTAATGCACCTAAAATTTCTAGGTAATATATAAAGGGGCATAGATTGATACATTTTATAGCATAATATATACTGTTTTTGTTCTCAGGGAAAACGAGCCCCATTCACAAATTTTGACCCATCCTGTCTTCTTCCTTCATCCCGGGATTATTGGACTTACTTTGGCTCTCTGACTCACCCTCCTCTTCATGAAAGTGTGACCTGGTTCATCCTCAAGGAGAGCATCACTGCCAGCCCTGAACAGGTATCAATTAAAATGAATTTATTTCTAAACAAGCAAACAAATAAATAGATAAAGTCCTTCCAATAACTGTTTTTACTCTATGTAGAGAGTAGACTCATGAAGTTCCAAGTTCCTGCTGTTCTTCATAAAGAAAAGTCAAAACTTGTTAGGTGGCTTCTCCGAATGTCAGGAACAGACAGTGAATTCTCCTTGGAACTTCCACAATGTCTCTCAGGTGGCCAAACTTAACAGTTGGTCAAATCGTCTCAGTTTTTCTAGCTAAAGTTTTAAAACATCGAACAAAGCACCTTCTGGCTTATTATTTCTAAAGATGCTGCTGCTGTTTGATGGAAGAGCTACTTTCCCCAACTGTTTTGTGTTTCTCCCAGCCTTGTGCCCTGCCATTTACTGATGCTGGTGGAGCATCAGTAAATATCTCTACTATAGCACTACTATAGGCCCTTTGCATGGATTAAGCCACTTAATCTGAACAACTCCCAAAAGGAAACGCTATAAGAATTTAAGGGGTGCTGAACTGACAACTTGCATAAGCTCCCCAAGTAACAGAGGAAAGCTGATGTTCTGACGGAGCCAACTATGCGAAGGCGGGAACATTAGTGCAGCCCCCTTCCTGTCCACCAAGAGAACCACCACTATCTTTAACTGCTTTCTAAGCAACAATACATTAACTTCTCTGGAAAGAAAGTGCTTTCTTGGACTTTAACAGCTTTTCATCCTTTAAATGTCTCACCCCACAGCTGGCACAGCTCCGCAGTATTCTGTCAAATGCAGAGGGAGAGGCAGATGTTCCTATTCTGAACAACCACCGTCCAACCCAGCCGCTGAAGGGCAGAACAGTGACAGCCTCATTTTGATGCTAGGCAAGAAGGATCCTCCATCAGGACCCGGCCCTCTGCAGACATCACCCAGTACAGTGGTCAGTTTTAAGAAACAAAGTTATTTCTGTGCTAGCAAGACAGCAAACCTGCAAATCTAATCCATAAAGCTAACAGCCATTCATTTTAATTCCTGGTGTTAATGCAGATAATCCATAAGCTTGCCAATTGTAATCTCTATACAAGCACTGTGACTAATGTCTCTCTGTGGAATGTTTCATAAGAAAATCACAATTAAGGGATTTCCTTTTCTCCTCTCTCCATTTTAATTGAAGCAATAAAAATGGCATTCTCTCTTCTCCTTGTCTATTGTGCATTTTATTAAAACCATTAGATTTCTCCTCCATTTACAGTACTAAACCTTAAAGGGCTTACCTGAGTCTTTCGCCTCAAATGTCATCTAAGAGAAGCCAGGAATGAAGCACTGACTAATCTCTTTGACTTAAGAAAGCCTCTAGATTTAGTGCTTTTATGCTACTACAAGCACTGCTTTCATCCATTTGCCCTACGATTACAACGTAAAAGTGACTTACCAAGGGTAGGGATTTTCTTCCATTATTATAATTGATGGGTTTGTAAGCATAGTCTGTGTTTTAAAACTGAAAGGGGCTGGGTAGATTGGTCGGTCAGTAAAGTGCTTTTTACACAAGTACAAAGACCTGAGTTCAATCCCAAGAACCCATATAAAAATGTAGTTGTGGTGGCACTATTGTCAGCCCAGTACTGAGGAGGTAGAGACAGGCACATTTCAGGGGCTTTCTGGCCAATTGCAGACATTGAGTCATATTGATTGTTTGTATGTGTATGATGATGATGATGTGTGTGTGTGTGTGTGTGTGTGTGTGTGTGTGTGCGTGTGTGCACATGTGTGTTCAGGCATATGTGGAGGTGAGAGGCCAATAACAGATATGTTTCCCAGTTTGTCTCTATTTTTTTTTTGAGACAAGGTCTTTTCCTGAACCTGGGGTTCAATAATTTGACTAGATAGGCTGACCAGTGAGCTCCAGGGTCCTCCTGTCTCTCTCTCTCCAGTGTTACAGACAAAAGCTGCATATCCAGTACCTGTGTTAGTGCCGGGGATCTGAATTCAAGTACTCATTTTGTGTGGTAAGCACTTCACAAGCAACCATCTCTCCAAACCCATACTTACACCTGGATTCTCAAGCTGTCCTAAGAACCAAAGGGAAAGAAATATTAACTTAATTTAAGACATTCATGTCGAAATAATGCTCAGGATCTTCATTTTAAACACTTTCTGGAAATGAGCAATTTCTAAATAAGTTTTATAGGAAGGACCTAGAAAATACTGGATTCTATGACCTGTGCTTTGTTGTTTGTTTAAGGTTAAAATGGATTACAGGATTTATTCGTGTGTATGTTACGTGAGTCTCATAATTGGAAGGATAAGCATGGGGCGGGAGACAAATGAAGGTCATCAGTCTGGTTCTCTTAAGCTGAATACTTCCAGAAAGTCAGCTTCCTTCCTGCTCCTTCATAGGGCTTCCGTGCTTTCTTAAAGTGACTGATAAAGCAGCCGTTCTCACACATAGAGGAGTGTAACAATGAGGGGCCTGTTTGTTTGTTGGGGTTTCTGTCCTGCCCGAACCCCCAGCTGTTTAGTCCCAAAGTAAAAATCACACAAGAGATCTCTATAAATTATAAAGCTGATTGGCCCATTAGGTCTAGCTTCTTACTGGCTAACTCTCACATCTTGATTAACCCATTTTTTTGATCTATTTTAGCCATGTGGCTCAGTACCTTTTTCAGTGGAGCAGCTTACATCCTGTTTCTTCGGTGATCTGGGCAGGAGTGGGGAAATCAGCTTCCTCCTCCCTAGAATTCCTCCTGCTCTCCTTGCATCATTTCCCCTTCCTGTCTAGTTTTCCCACCTACACCTCCTGCCTGGCCAATCAGCGTTTATTTAAAACATGATTGACAGAATACAGACAATTCTCCCGCATCAGAGGAGCGGACCTCCTTTGGACCATTTGAAGATTTTACTCACTTCCCTTCTGTTCTGTGCCTTCGCTGCTTGCTGATTTTTGGTAGAATATTGAACATCCTGAGAGGATTTTCTGTTATCTTAAAAGTATTTGACAGCCGGCATTTATGACAAATTCCCTGGAACTCTAAGAAAGATCTAAAAGAATCAGCTTCAGTTTCCTCAGTGTTTCCAAGCTTGTGCTTCCACCAGGATGTGAGATGCAGATCATCCTGCCTTTTGGGATACATACAGTCAACTGCTCAACAAGGGTTTCTTCTCCACAATGTGAAAGACCCCAACCCAAATTGTTCAAATTGCTGCCGCAGCTAAAAATAACGCCATTTTATGCAAGGCTTGTACTTTTGGGGAATTCAGACAGAGGACAGTCATACATTGCAAAACAGGATTACAGACTGTCTGTAGCAGAACAGGATATCTGTGGTCAGCCGTGAAGGCAAGGCAAGAACGGGAAGTGCCAGTTATGAAAGGGCCAACTCAGCCCTAACCGGGGGGTCCATGTATCAAGGGGGAATTTCTCCCCAATTTAACCTGGCTAACTAAATTAAGCTGTCCAATGAAATCCCTGTAACCAAGGCATCTGCTTCTGTAACCGCGCTTTTTGCTCTCTGCCCTTATAAAAACCCCTTACCACAGCCTGAGGGCGCGCAAGTTCTCTGAGAGACTCTGCTGCCCCAGGCGCCTGTGTATCTGAAAATAAACCTCTTGCTGTTTGCATCCGCAACGGTGTTCTCGTTGATCCTTGGGAGGGGTCTCTCCAGAAGGAAGACTCTCTTCGGGGGTCTTTCAAATGGAAGGCTCTAGATAGTGGTTCTCAGCCCTCGTAATGCCTCAATACTTTAATACAGTTCCTCATATTGGGCTGTTAATCACAACCATAAAGTTATTTTTGCTGCTACTTCATGATTGTAATTTTGCTACTCTTATGAATCATAATATAAGTATCTGTGTTTTCCAATGCTCATCGGTGACCACTGTGAAAGTATGATTCAACCCCCTAAAGGATCATGACCCACAGGTTGAGAATGGCTAATCTTTATGCTCTACTGATGTCTCTTTTCCTGAGGTGAGCATTGTACTAGGAGAATAGATATACTAGACTGATGTGAAGAAAATCACTCTTTCAATATAAAATAAAGTACTTCCAGGGCTGAGAGGATGACTCAGTACATAGAACACTTTCTCTGTAAGTATGGGGACCAGAATCTGGATCCCCAGAAGCCACATAAAAACCATAACTGGTGTGGTGACCATAAATTATCCCTTGAATAAGCTAGCTGGCTAGCAAACTTAATCAAAAGAGAGACCATGTCCCAGTAAATATAGCAGAAAACAATCATGAAGACAACTAACATCAGCTGCCAGCCTTGTGTAGGAGGTCCTTCTGTTTATATGTTGCTTTCATTGGTTGAATAAAGAAATTACCTTGGTCTTTTGATAGGGCAGAACTTAGATAGGCAGAGTAGACAGAACAGAATGCTGGGAAGAAGGCCAGTGTGGCAGACACCATGGTTCTCCTTCCCGAGACGGATGCTAGTTAGACTCATGCCGGTAAGCCACAGTCAAGTGGCAATACACATTAATGGAGATGGGTTAAACTAATATGTGAGAGTTAGCCAATAAGAAGCTAGAAATAATGGACCAGGCAATGTTTAAATGAATATAATTTCTATTTGATTATTTCAGGTATAAACTAGCTGGGTGGTTGGGACAAACAAAGGGCCCCCTCTCTCAACACCAGTCTCCACCTATACATGTGCACTTATACTTACATTTTCGTACATAATTCGAAAATTCATATACACATGCATGAATGCACATGCACTACATACATAAACAGGCAAAATGAAAAAAAGAAAATAAGTCCATCTCTATACAGAAGTAGACACTGGAGTCAGCGTAGCCAGGAGTAAGCACTGGCTGGGTTGACTAGATGTGGAATGACAATGTGTCTTCTCATACCCTTTGTTTAAGGTACCATTTTTAGAAAACATCGTATTTGAATTTGCATTATGTAGTTCATTTGGCCCAGCTGTGAAAAGAACACAGATATAATAAGCATGAATAAGAAGGGCTTTCAAAGAGACAAGAAAACATGACTCTTGTTGTAGGGAGAGGGCCACTTGTTCATCCCGGCTGCCTGGCTAGTTTACACCAGAAATAACCACACGGAAATTGCATTAATTAAATCACTGCTTGGCCCATTAGCTCTAGTTTCTTATTGGCTAACTCTTACATATTAGTTTAACCCATCTTCATTAATCTGTGTATCACCACATGGCTGTGGCTTACCGAAGATTCTAACCAGTGTCTATCTCAGGCAGAGGATCCATGACTTCTCTCTCTCTCTGCTTTCTTTCTCCCAGAATTCAATTCTGTCTCCCCTGCCTACCTAAGTACTGTCCTATCAACTAAGCCAAGGCAATTTTTTTATTCATTAACCAATGAAAGCAACACACAAACAGAATGAACTCCTACACCATTTCCCCTTTCCTTTTAAACAAAAAGGAAGGCTTTAACTTTAGCATAGAAAAATTACATATAACCAAACAGTTATCAAGCAAAAATTACAGTTACAATATTTGTATATACTTTATCTTTTATCATAACTAGGTAAAACTATAACTATAAATTCTTCAACTCCATCAAAGACTTCAGAAGGATATAATATTACCTAAGTAAACAACTTCCAAAACTCTAGAAATGACAGAGACATCTTGCTGCCTGTACATTTACCCAAAGTTCTTCTGCACCATTGGGGCATCCATCTTCAGCCTACAGGTCCATAATATCCAGCAGACTTGTTCATGAAGCTGGAAATTTCAAAGACAATTCAGTCACTTTCTTCTGTATCCTGTAGAATATCTCCAAACTCTTTCATGAAGCAGTAACCCTGAAGGACCATCTCACCTTTTTGCAAGTTCAGCAATCATCTCTTTGCAGGTTCTTCATGGCCAGTTTATGAAACGGTCCAGGCAAGAGCAGTTTCTTGCCAAATGGCTAACCAACTCCATAAGGAGCCTCTTCGATGCCCATCTTCCTCAGGAAGCAGGAGCAGACATGTCTCATTGTCATGAAAAGCCCTAGGTTATTAAAACATTTTAAATGCCATATTCTGTAGTCTTTGAAAGATATGAAGAATGCCTATCCATCTGAAATATATCTATTACAACTATAAAATCAAACTTGACTATTATAGATGATTATCTATTAACTTTTATTTCTTAATAATACATTACATTTTTAAATGAACTTTATGATTATAATACTTTAATCAAGAACAGAAATATACATGTAACACGATTGACCTTAAATTTATATCAATAAACCAAGATCCATACAAATGCAAATTATTCATATCTATATCACTTTTAAGTTTTAATTGCTTATCTTATATTCTATTTTTCCTTTTTTATTACTTAAAAAAATCAATTCAAATTCCAACTCTCTCCCCTCCTCCCAGTCCCCTCTCTCTCCATCCACAGACCTTCCCCCCAACCCTCCAACCCTAAGAGAGTGCCATGTACCACACCCTGTGGAAAGTTCAAGCCCTCCCTACTATGTCTAGATTGAGCAAGGTTTGCATCCAAAGAGAATAGGATCCTATGAAGCCTGTACACACAGTAGAGACATATCCCAGTATTGCTATAAGTGGCCCCTCAGTCTGCCCCAGCTGTCAACCGCCTTCAGAGGGGCTTGGTTGTTCCCATGCTCATTCACTCCCAGTCCAGTTGGAGTTGGTGAACTCCCATTAGCTCAAGCAAACTGTCTCAATGGATGATTCCCCCTACTTCATAGTCTTGAATTCCTTGCTCATACTCTCACTCTTCAACTGGATCTTGGGAGCTCAGTCCAATGCTCCAATGTGGGTCATTGCCTCTGTTCCCATCTGTTGTTGGATGAAGGTTCTAAGGTGATATTTAAGATAATCATCAGTCTGACAACAGGGTAAGGTCAGTTCAGACACCCTCGCCTTTATTGCTTAGGGTCTCAGCTGGGTTCATCCCTCAGGGTTCTTGGGCATTTTTCTAGAGCCAGGTTGTTGGATCCCAGGTTCTTCCCCTGCTCCTTGAGGCCAAAGCACAGGATGCAAGAAATGTTTACACTAAATCAGCCTAGCTTCCTGTTAATTTCTCTGCTCAATTCTACCAGCCTGGAGGATTAGCATAGAGCCTTGTTTCGTCTTTGGTATGGTAATTTCACCTGCAAAAGAGAGTTCCCACAGCGCCTAAATCTTCTCCTAACTGTCTGTCATAGCTCCTAGCTCGGTACCCCCCTGCCTGGAAGTACCTGCCACTCAGCGCCAGGCTCTCAACACTGTGATCTCACTCCTGGCTGGGAGGGGGTCCTTCTCTCCTGGGGAAAGAGGTATATTAACCTGACGGAAGCAAAATAAAACTTGGCATTCACCTCTTGGCGAATGACCCGGACTCTCTATATGTGTATGTCTTGTGTTTAACCCCTAGGCCCTTGCCCAAGCTCATAAAGGTATGGAGGCTCAGTCCATACCAGGAGGGTGGTGATGCAGACTCGAGTGTTTCCCACACCAGATTTCTTGCTAACTCCATAATGGCTCCCTCAAGCAAGATATCTCTTTCCTTGCTCTCATATCAGTCTTTCCTCCATCTCAACCATCACATTCCCTCAAGTTCTCTTCAACACCCCTTCTCTCTTCCCTCTACCCCCCACTCCCTTGCTCCCAAATTTTTGTCTGATTCCAATTTCCAGGTGGGTCTATATATGTTTTTCTTTGGGTTCACTTTATTTAGTTTCTCTAGGATCTTGAACTATAGGCTTGTGTCCTTTTG